GTCAATCCTCGGTTTTGGATGTTGCAAATGCCTCCCAACTCTGGCACATCTACTAATATTGGTTGTGGCATCCTTCATCAGAAATCCTCCATCTATCTGCTTTTATATTTATTCATTTATTTACTTACTTACTTACTTACTTACTTACACACACGCATACCATGGTATATGTGGAGGTCAGACACACACCTCTCCTTCCACCATGTGGGCTCCAGGGATTAAACTCAGGATGTCAGGGTTAGAGGCAAGCATCTTTACCTGCTGAGCCATCTCATTGGCCCAAACTCTCGATCTTGATGTAATTGAAAGATCAGTTTGAGATCTTAGAGCTTGTAAGGTTTCATATGAGAAATTTTCCTTGCCTTACATAACACAAACACTGCCATACATTAACTATATAGTTTTGCCTTCCCGCTTATACCGAACCTCGTTTGTGTGGGGGATCAGTAGGAATTTATTTTTCATTTTTTCCTCCATATGACACACCACCTTTTCAACACCACTGGCAGATAACCTACCCCTTCTTGGGGGTACTGCCTTTGTGGTGTATTAATTCTCCCTGGGATACATGGGTACCCTGCTGAGCACTCTTCTCTTCTACTGCTCTTCCTATGCCTGCAGCCTCTGTGTTGGGTTTACCGCTTGGCCTCAGTGTAGCGGGTGGCACTGGCCCTTGGAGCTGCAGAGGCAGAGGCAGCATGTCTCAGGGTTGAGCTCCTTCCATGAAGATGCCATCCCCTGCTGGACAACCACAGCAGAAGCCTGCCTATCAGCCTCTTGGCTTCAGCCTGGGTGCTCTGCTGGGTACTGGGAGCTGCTTTTTCAGGGACCCTAGAAAGTAAGGGGTCTCCAGTCCTACAGGCCTTGCCTGGCCTGAGGGAAGAACTGTCCTTCCTCATCTATACCAGGAAGCCAGTCAATGGAACTGTGGCTTGGTCGGCCCACCTTCCACTGAGCCTTTCCCTGCCTGGGAAAGCCAAGGCCTGGGTTCCCTTGAATTTCAGGGTAGGGACAAGTGACAGTTATTTCTGAGACAAAGTCTGGCTGTGTAGCCCAGGCTGACCTGGAACCTTTGATCCTCCTGCCTTCAAGGCCTCCTTCAGCACTGCCCATGTCTACCCCTGTTCTTACATGATCTTTTGTGTTGAGATTATAGATGTGTGTTTTCCTGAAGCCAGGGAACATTCTGGGGGAGGGAAGCTGACACCCTAGGGAGGTGCTGTACTGACTTGGGCCCTGCATTTAGAAGGACTTTGGGTGGACAGGTTGCAGTTTCCCTCTGACTCCATTTTCATGTCTCAGCACCCTTGGCCAGTCATTCATTAAGTGAAGGGAGAGGAGAGAGAAGGGGAAAAGTCAGTAGGAGTCAGGGATGGCATTTAAAAAATATCTTATTATTTTTATTTTATGTGTATGTATGTACTGCCTGCATGTAGGTAAGTGCACCCGTGTCGTGCAATGCCTGCAGAGGACAGAAGAGGATATTGCATGCCCTGGAACTGGAGATACAGACAGTTGTTAGCTGCCATGTGGGTGCTGGGATTCGAACCCAGGTCTTCTGCAAGAACAGTCAGTGTTCTTAACCACTGAGCCATCTCTCCAGCCCCAGGGATGGCATTTTTAAAAAATGGAATGAATGTTGCCAGGCATGGTGGCGCACACTTTAATTCCAGCACTTAGAAGACAGAGACAGGTGGATCTTTGTGAGTTCAAGGCCAGCCTGGTCTACATAGCGGGTTTCAGGCCAGCTGGGTCTACAGGGAGACCTTGTCTCAAAAGGACTAAGGGACAGCTGCATGTGGTGGCACATGCCTTTAATCCCAGTACTCGGGAGGCAGAGGCAGGTGGATCTTTGTGAGTTCAAGGCCAGCCTGGTCTACATAGTGAGTTCCAGGACAGCTGGGGCTACAGAGAGACCTGTCTCAAAAAGACCAAAAAAATAAAAAATAAAAAAAAATAAAAAATAAAATAAAATAAAAAAGACCAAGGGGAAAAAACACTGTGTGTGAATGTTTTGCCTTCATGTAAGCACGCCTGTGTTGTGCAGCGCCCATAGAGGCCAGAAGAGAGTGTCAGATCCCCTGGAACTGGAGTTATGGATGCTTGTTAGCCACCATGTGGGTGCTGGGAACTGAACCCAAGTCCTCTGTAAGAACAGTCAGTTCTCTTAACCACTGAGTCATCTCTCCAGCCCAGGTGCTTTATTTTTGTCACGTCATTTAATGCTCTTAGGATGAGGCAGTGACCATATAATATCCAGTTACGGGGAGAGGGTAGATTGAGGCTCAGAGAGGTGAGGCTACATGTCCAGTATCACACAGCTCCTGAGTATCAGAGCCAGGAATCCAACTTAGGCCTGTCAGAGTCTGAAGCTGTTTTTCAGAAGACTCACCAGCTCTAAGGCTATGATAAGGGGACCCAGTCCTTCAGCATGAGAAACAGATATCTTCAAAGATAAGACCCAGAACTCCAAGCCTGTTCACAGAAACAGACTGTGACTCAGCAGACACAATGTTCATACTGAGAGATTTCTTTCCAGAACACACAGTGGTGTACACACAGCATAGCAACCTTTCTGCCTTTCCCCCAGCTGTTCGCTGGAAGCCAGCACACAGGACCCTTCTGGGGACAGCAGTACCCCAGGTGGGGGAGGGTCTGGCAGTCAGCCACCGGGCCACATCTGATGGACAGCTTGGGATAGTGGGCAGTGGGGAAGGAGGGGGTAGTAAGCTGAGGTGAGAGGAAGCCCTAGGGAGATGAGGGGTGCAAGATGAGGGGTGCTTTGCAGGCCAGAGTCTGGGCATAACCCCTTTCCCTTGTGTGTCTCTCTCTTTCAGATCCCCTGGAACTAGAGTTAAGTATGGTTGTTAGCTGCCATGTGGGTGCTGGGAATCAAACATGGGTCCTCTGCAAGAGCAGTCAGTGCTCTTAACCGCTGAGCCGTCTCTCCAGCCCTATGTATATGAGTGTTTTGCCTGCATGTATGTAGGCACACCATGTGCATGCAATGCCTGCAGAGGCCAGAAGAGGGCATCAGATCCCTAGGAACTGGAGTTACAGATGCCATGTCCGTACTGGGAATCGAACCCAGCTCCTCTGCAAGAGCAGCCAGTGCTCTTAACCGCCGAGCCATCTCTTCATCTGTTCTGTATTTTTTTTGTTTTTTGAGACAAGAACTCACTATGTAGCCCTTGAACTTGTGATGATCTCCTGCCTTAGCCTCCCCAGTGCTGTCCTTACTGGGAAGAGAAGGCACTCCTCACCCTGGAGTCTGACTGAAGTCTCTCACCAATTGACAATCAAGAATTCCAGTACAAATAACATTTGCTGTGAAGGTTGCCAACATAGAGACACTATTCTTTTTTAATAGAGATATTTCAAATAAGAATGTTATTTGAAATAACACTAAAGCAATAAATCATGCTGGAGTCCTATGTGTGGATAGAATTTCTCCTTTCCCAGCTAGAAATCTTCAGTTTTCTAGGACTCTTAACAAGAAACCCCATTTATAGTAAAATCTGTCTTAGCCCTCTTGTACAAGCTTTGTGACCCATGGTTTTATCTTATTAGAGTACAATCCTATGCAAAGAACCTCTGCATAATCTCATCAAAAAAGAGGAAAAAAGGGGGCTGGAGAGATGGGGCTCAGAGGTTAAGAGCACTGGCTGTTCTTGCAGAGGATCCGGGTTCAGTTCCCAGCACCCACATGGCAGCTAACAATCATCTTTAACTCCAGTTCCAGGGGAATCCAACACCCTCTTCTCGCTTTTGCAGGCGTTGCACAACACAGGTGCACTCACATAAACGCAGGCCAAATAGTGACACACAGAATAAAAATAAATGTTAAGCCAGGCATGGTGGCACACACCTTTAATCCCAGCACTCGGGAGGCAGAGGCAGGTGGATCTCTGTGAGTTCAAGGCCAGCCTGGTCTACATAGTGAGTTCCAGGACAGCTGAGGCTACAGGGAGACCCTGTCTCAAAAAGACAAAATAAATAAATAATAAACAAATTTTAAAAGAGGAAAAAATTGGGAAATATTTGTTACTAACCACTTGAGGTATAAATTGAGGACCGCCACATCATGCATATGTACACGGTTGCTAAGACACTAAAGCAGGAGTTTGTCTCGAGAAGCCCACATTCGGGCTTTGGGTGTGTTTCAGTCTCTCCCTGAGTATCCCTCTATTAGCCCCCATGCTTAAATTTCTTTAAAATTTTAAAAAGATTTATTCATTTATTTATTTTTCTATGTATGTATTTTGCCTGCATGGATGTAAATACATCACATGCTTGCAGTGTCCACAGAGGTCAGAAGAGGGTGTCAGATCCCATGGAACTGGAATTACAGACAGTTGTTAGCCACCATGTGGATGCTGGAAATCAAATCCTCTGCAAGAGCAACCAGTGCTCGTAACAACTGAGCTATCTCTCCAGTCCCCTGAAAATCTCTCTCTCTCTCTCTCTCTCTCTCTCTCTCTCTCTCTCTCTCTCTTTGGTCTCTTTTTGAGACAGGGTCTCCCTGTAGCCCCAGCTGGTCTAGAACTCAGTATGGATACCAAAGATACCAAGTTAGCCTTGATCTC